AACTTGATTTTTACGGGTATTAGCCGTAGACCTATTACTATTGGCATTCAGTAATAGACGTAAACAATATATTGCAAATAACAAAAAAACTAGAGCCAATTTTGCATTTTAACTGTCATATTCGTGTTCAGCACATAGAAATTGATAAGAATTGGCTAATTTCATTTCAGTTACATGACTTTTGTCAAAATTTGTTGCCCAGTGTAATCTGAAAAACCAAGGACATTGCTTCCATTTGTTGTCAGATATTAGAGCCGAAAAACTGAATATAAAGCTAATTTAGCCGCGGTGTCATAGTTAAGGTTTAACCCCAGGTATACCTCCCTAGCTTGTAATCTCACTTGATGAGGTATGTGGGGATACGCGGATCTATACTGAAATATTCTTAAATCTCTCCAATCTGAGCAAAAAATCGTAATTGAACGATGTTGCTGGCAGTGTGAACGTAGCCTAAGTGTAATCTTTTTCAATGTTTGTACTATATTTCAATGTTTGTGTGTGCACTTCACATTCAATACCCCAGTTGTGTTTTTTAAAGTCACTGGCGGTGAACGGACACAGTGCAATTGTGAATTAATTATTAATAAATACGTATGAAAACACATAATATGAAAGTTACATGCATGGTGTACATTGTCCCTCATAGTTTAATGCTTGAAGCACACTTTACAGGACGTTCTGTATTATTTAGGCTTATCCTTGCTGTCACGTAGCAGCAAATAGCAAGTGGGAAAGTGTAGTGGGATCGCAAAAGTAAAATCGCAAAAAATATTTCCCCATCCTGACGTCTTAGGGGTTCTGTAGGTGCATGCTGGGTGTATGGAGATTAAGAGGTTCTGAAGCAGGTTCTTCTACCAATTTCTGACAGTGCCTACCAGTCGATTTGGTGCCTGTTGTCAAGTGATCAGAATACAGCCCCTATACGATTATCTACTAGTAGGCACTGTATGAGGTTCTATGTCAGAGACTGGAGCACACTGACCATACAAACAATCCTTTTATGAAGTTTCTTTACACTTATAGATGTAAACAGACACAGGTGTATCTCTGTAGGGATCTTCTCCATGTTGCCAGACACTTAATTTTGACTATAGCGGTTTTCTATGCCCACCTTATACACTTTCATTGTATATCCTTTTCAAGTCTGCAAATCTGGCAAGGTGGGGCCTGAGGGAGGATCCACTCTGCAAATTATGTGGGAAGAAAGGCACACTCTCCCACATTTTAGCAGGTGTCAAACAGCTCTGGCCCAGGGGAGATACAGGTGGCGGCATGATCAGGTGCTCAACGTAATTGTAGACATCCTGGAGCAGGCCAGGAGAAGACCGCAACCACTCAAGCCACAAACACCAGCATTGCAGGTCATCAGGGCAGGGGAGCAGCCATCTTCTGCAAGGAGAACCAGGACCAATATCCTCCAGGGGGCACAAGGATGGGAGATGACAGCTGACCTGGGTAGGAAGCTCATTTCCCTCCCCCATCGTCCAGACCACCTTGAGACCTGACATAGACATCTGGTCAGAGCAGGTGAAGAAGATCATCCTGGTAGAACTGACTGTCCCATGGGAAGAAGGCTGCGATGAGGCCCATGAGAGGAAGTATCTGAAATACCAGGACCTCATCATGGAGTGCAGAGAGAAAGGGTGGCAAACATGGCTGTTTCCAGTGGAGGTGGGCTGTAGAGGGTTTCCGGCACAGTCTGTATGGTCGGTGCTCACTACACTCGGCGTATCAGGCAAGGACTGCAACACAGCTGTGCGCAGGATTGGAGAGGCAGCAGAAAGAGCCTCTTGTTGGTTGTGGTTTAGAAGGGAGGAGGGGGGCTGGAGGCCTGGAGCTGATGGGCAGTGACCTGGCCACCATTGCCGACCCCCTAACTGGAGGGTGTAGCGGATAAGGGTCGAAACATCCTGAGAAGGTTGGGCACCGTCTGACGACATCAGCTCCAGGCCAAGGCCACAGGCATTCTAAAGAGCGACTGTATGTGTTGCATCATCTGATGTATTAAGCGTTCTAATTCAATGCTGGACCAATTTAATTTATGTCCCAAGTGAAAATTTGGATCACCTCGCCCTCACCACCAAAAAGAAAACTAAAATTAGGGCCCAGGTTGAAAAATCCCAGTTACCCTTTAAGTATGATTTCTTGCGTGCTTTAAATGATCTCATTAAAGTATATTTGTACTGTAAGACACTGCCTCCACCAACGACAGAAAACAGTAAATTTCACTTTTGAATCTGTGTCCTTTCTTTTTCTCCCAGCCCCCAAGATGTACCAAGGATGCAGCTGATCCCTGGTAATTCTGAATCAAAAGACAGTCTAAAGTTTGTCCATGTATCTGTCTAGAACAATATGAAGCCCTCTGGGGTCAGAAGAAAATTATACAGAATTATAAAAAACTAAATTGGAAAATATAAGCTTAAAAAATGAAAAATCAGGTAACAGCAGGTCAACAGCCCAATCTGGTACATTCTCCACCTGTTTCAAAGGTGAAATCATGACCTCATCATGGTAAGACAGACACATAGAGAAATGCCAGTTTTAGTTTTTCAATTTTTCCCAGGGGGAGTTCTGAAGAACTGTTTGTGAATAATTGGATAATATGGCAAATTTGCATCAGAATACATTAAGTGTTTCAGAGTCAACAGTGGTATGTTTATTTTTAATAAAATTTCCAATCCCACTTTAATTGAAACAGTGACTGTCTTGCAGATGTATCAGTTTATTTTGTATTTCTTTAGTATATTTTCAGTTATGGATATTTTGCAGTAATGTTACATCTTGTGTTTTATAACAATTTCAAAAATAATCTGTACCTAGTGCAAATTAAATGTGTTAATTAAAATTTGTACTGTAATTTGGATAAAACTGAATCATTAAAAGTTGTTAGTAGATTATTTTGTCTTCTGAAGTCTGTTATTTTACAATCTTGAGCTTGTGTTAATGCTTTATTGAAGGTATTTGATTGTAATAATTTATTTTAAAAATCTGTAAAATAACAGTGTTTCCTTGCTAAATGTTTAATGTCATCACCTTATTGAAGGTGTTTTATTGTACAAGTTTAGGAAAAATCCATTAAATAAAGGTGTTTCTCTGCTGAACTACTAGCGTCATAGCTTTATTGAATGTGTTGGATCATAATAATTGAGGGATAATTTGTAAAATTACAGCGTTTCTCTGTTGAACCTGTAGTGCCATCGCTTAAATGATGGTATTTGATCATAGTAATTAAGGAAACATCCATAAAATAACAATGTTTTTCTCCTAAACTTTTAGTGCTATCACTTTATTGAAGAAGTTTGACTCTTACAAAAATCTTTAAAATAAGTTTTTCTCAGCAAAAATTTTAGTGAAAACTGCTGTAAGTAGTACTGTTTTTGCTCTTCATTTGAATTAGGACATTTTACTTTAATTTTACAGTTTTTGTTTGCCAGCCATTGCTGCCACTCATTTGACCATTTTTTTACAATTTTTTTTACAGTGACATATCCCCCACGCTGGTCACCCAGCTCAAGGATCTGGGACTGAGCTCCTCCCTTTGTGACTGGGTTCTGAACTTCCTGACTAGTAGACTACAGGTGGTGAGGGTTGGTAGGTGCACCTCTAATTCTTAACACCAGAACCCCTTAAAACTTTGTGGACAGCCTCCCAAGAAGAGTTGAAGCTGTTATAGCTGCAAGGGGTGGGCTAACTCCATATTAAATCCTATGTGTTAAGAATGGGATGTCATTGAAGTTCATGTGTGTGTAAAGGCAAGGTGTCCCAAAACTTTTGGCAATATAGTGTGTTTGCTCAACCCAACATGTAGGGTCCTGTAAGTTGGCTGGCTATATAATGAGCTTGTCTGTGAAGCGTGAGGCTTAGTCTTGTTGCTTCCAGCTTGAACCTGATGTCCAAACCCTGGTGTTCCAGAATTTAGAATCTTTTGGGGTTTTGGTTTCATATATATAAGGAGCTGCGATTAAGGAGCAATTAAAGTTCAGCCTTGTCAATATGTCACTTGCAAGACTCATCTACGTAGGTGATAAAAAATACTATGTAGGGTATGTTTTTTAAATACCATGTTCGTGGTAAAAATTGGATTTTGATCACAATGTACTTCAGCATTTCTCATGATGCTGACCCCTGTCCTTATCTATCTTCGGCAGCAAAGGGCTTGGATCCTTCCTGGACTGAATCGCAGACCACTGCAGGGTAACCAGAAACACACAGAATAATATATTATGGATAATTTAGAGACACCAAATAGCCTAACTGCATATCTTTGGACTGCAAGAGTAAAGCTACACAGTACTGGGATAACAGGTAAACTCCACATTTACAGAGCGGGAGCAAACTCTGTGAGGTAAATGTGCCGCAGAAAATGTCTAAAATAGGGTATGTCGTTTGATTGTTTATTTATTTGCTTATGTATTTATTTTTACTTGGCGGGTAAAATGGAATGTGTTTACAATTTTGATTTAACGTTTTAAGGTAATCGCGGAAAATACACAGAATTGCCAACCTTTGTCAGCTGGCCGACGTCAGATTTTCAATTCGAAGTCTGCACATTCATTTACATGCATATAACAGTTTTATGACCTTATAAATACTGAAGTCTGTAAGATTTGCAAACTAACCCAACGCTTCTGGTGTAGCTAATTTTTGGTTTATAATGGAATATTATAGATTTGCTGTCAGATTGCTTGCGTGAGCCTGAGTTTGAAAGAGTTGGCAACCCTGAATACAACTACTTGCTTAAGAAAAAAAAAATCACATATACTTTCCATTCGTGCTTTTCTATAAATAAATGAATAATAACAGGGGTGGTATATTAGCCAATTATGTTATTTATTCTTTAATGTAAACGTTGGGTAACTAGTTTTTTCCACTATCAACAACAGCCACGTTATAGTATGTTTGATATTTGGTTGAACTTGTCCATTCTAGTTCTGTTTTGCGCATGTCCGTTCTAGTTCTGTTGTAATTTCTATGGTAATGCGCGGAATTGACTAAAAGTATCCGCTAGGGGTGGATGTAGCATCAGAGCAAGCGGAAGTTTGTAGAAGGTTGCGCTTAATGTGGGCATGTCGTTTTTTACAATATTTACAATGAGAAGTAGCATAACACAATGGCTTTCAGCGATTCATTTTCTGATATGCTCGGTAATTTTGGCTCTTTCTCTGAGATCGCATTCGGCTCTGGCTAGTAGGAACCACGTCAGAGTCATTACTGACGACAACTGGGAAGAAATCCTGCAGGGCGAATGGATGATAGAATTGTAAGTCGCCAGTATTTCACGTACACGGCGAGACTGCATTCATTTCGTCTCTTTCATTGAAATTTCGGACATCAGCCATTCCATATATTCAGTGGGAGCCCGTTACCAAGTTTTCCTGCTGCAAACCCAATATACTGTACATCACTATATCGATGTTGTAATATCTGCTGGCTAGTAATGTAAGTGATAAACTGTTTGTAATCTGATATGTGTACAGGCCTTAGCAAATACAGCAGGAAAGATAAGCTGTAAATGAAATGTTTATAGATACTATTTACCGGGAATTGTAACATGATTTTTGTGGGTGAAGTCAGAAAATGATACGTTACAGGGCACTTTCTGTGTTCAATTTAATGGTATACATAAATTATTAGTTCGTAATCTGAATTGCGGCCATTCTAAATGTCTGTTGTTGCTCTGTCTCATTTAAATTAAACTCCTTGTGCAATATTGGATTGCAGGTAAGCTCCATTTTCTTCCGTGTGCGTGTGGAATTCGCGTATATGCGATTATATGTACAACAGTTGAGTGTTTAAACTAGTGACTGGTGGGGGGTCAAGGAAGATGGTTAAGAATATAGGAGGGGGGAGACGGAAAGCCCCAAATAATAATAAAAGTGGACACCGTAAAAGGCCTACCCTTTGTTGACTGTACTTAAACGCTAGGAGCATTAGAAACAAAATTCATGGTTTAGAGCAGGGGTCACCAACCTTTTTGAAACAGAGAGCTCCTTCACGGGTACTGAGCTATACGAAGGGCTACCAGTTTGAAACGCCCTCCTAAACTTATCTAAACTTCATGTATAATAAATATGCTTTAAATGCTTTTTTATATTGTCATTTTCAAATGTATATAAATGCAAATGTGATTAAAGAAGAATAGCAACAGGATAAAATTAAAATTTAGACGCTGCTTACTGGTGAGTTGTGCTATTTTTAGAACAGGTCCGCGGGCAACTCATGTGGTCCTTGCGGGCACCATGTTGGTGACCCCTGGTTTAGAGGCTTTTATTTCACCAGACTCTTATGACAATATAGGAATAACAGAAACATGGTTGTGTGACAATGATGCATTTAATGTATTTGCAATGGAAGGCATAATGTCATACAGCGATATCAGGATTATGAGTAATAAAAAAATTTATTACCTGGGATACAGTTGGACATATAGTCTCTGGATCTGCTGTAAATGAACTTTAGATGGTGGAATTGTTACAGGATTGATTTGTTTGTTACAATCCCCAACAGAAGAGAAGCCATTCTTTTGTTCTCTAATAACCAGGTTAGGATTGGAACATTTGAGGTTTTGGAACCACTTGACAGTAACAATAACAACAACAAATTTATTTTTGTATAGCGCATTATCACAACATTACATTGTCCCAAAGCGCTTTACAGCATCCCCACCCAAAGCCCCCAGTGAGTAAGCCATAGGCGACAGTGGCAAGGAAAAACTCCCCAGAAGGAAGAAACCTTGGGAGGGACCAGACTAAAAGGGGGAGCCCATCCTCCAGGGGCCGGCAGGGAGAGTCAAATACAGTTAAATCTGAAACACAAACGGGGAGCAGGGGGGAGATGACAAGCCGGTGCCACCACTCCCTCCAATCGCCAGGCAGCCAGAAGGCAGGGAGCGGGTCATACAAGGAAGATGACACAGGCAGAACGGCGAGCTGGATGCATGGTCGTCATTGGTAGTGGCGACGTCACATGTTGCAGGGTATGCTGGACATCTTGATAGATTGAGGGCTCCAGGCAGCACCCCCCAGGAGAAGGTGGTGGAAATAAATGCAATTAGTCAAAGTAAGGGAGACTATAGGCAGTGCTAAAAGTTAGATGAGTGCAATATGAAGTGCAATGCTCCAGCAGATATGGCTATGGCAGCATAAGTAGGAGGGAGAGGCAGGTGGGAATGCAGGCATGGGGAGTCCCTGAAATGTCAGCACTCCAATCCCACAAGCAATTGTGAAGCTAGAGTGACAGCACTGTCAATTCAGTTTATCCAAAGCCAATGGCACCGACAGTAGTAATCATAACATGGTTAAATTTGAGGTAAATTTTAGTGTCCGAAGAGCAAAGTCCAAAACAAAAATATACAGTGTTCCAAAGGCTAACTTTAATGATGTGAAACTGAAACTAAAAACTGTAAACTGGAGGGAGTTAACAAAACTGTTGAAGAGGCATGTCTTTTTTTAAAAAGACTTCATAAAGACTTCATACCTGTTTCCAGCAAAACTAAATCTAGGAAACTGCAACCAAGGTGGCTACTATGGAAATTCAAAATAAAGTTATGAGGAAAAGGGCTCTTTTCTACAGATGGAAAATAACTAATGATATTAGAATAAAGCAGAAGTAGATACATCTGCAGTTAAAAAATAATGTTAGATTTACTAAGAGGAATTTCAAAAGGCGTATTCCATTACAGACTAAGGATGACATTAAAAGTTTCTTCCAATATTTTAACTCCAATAGAGCTCTAAAAGCTTAAATCACTAATATACAGGATAGTAGGGGTCTTATAATTGAAAATGATATAGTTGATTGTTTTCCATAGGTATTCACTGTAGGGAGCACAAGTAACATACCAACTCTTATTCCTAATTCAGCTTCGTCTATGACCAATGTACGTATAACTGAAGCTGATGTGCTACAAAGCCTAGCTAAGGTCAAAATAAATCAATCGTAGGGCTCTGATTGCATTTTGCCTATAGTTTTAAAAGAGATGAGGTATATTATTTGCTGACCTTACCTATTTCAGAAATCTGTATCTGTTGGTGTGGTACTTTCTGATTGGAAACATGTTAATATAACACCCATATTCAAAAAAGGGGATAAAAGTAATCCATCAAACTATAGGCCATTTAATTTAACTTGCATAACCGGAAAAGTAATGGAAGCTATAATCCAAGCCAAAATGGTAGATTACCTGGATTCAAATAACATTTTGAGGGATAACCAAAATGGATTTAGGAGAGGTAGATCCTGTTTAACTAATACACTTGAGGTCTTTGAAGCTACAAGAGAAATTGATCACAAAATGGCTTACGATGTGATCTACTTAGATTTCCCAAAGGCCTTTGATGTTGGTCCCCACAAATGGCTCCTGCTTAAGCTTAAAGCAGCAGGGATTCTAGGAACTCTAGCAGCTTTGAGTGAAACTGGTTAACAGACAGGAAGCAGCAGGTAGTTATTAGAGGCATGTTATAATGGGCCTGCGCTCACAGTGGGGTACCACAGGGTTCAACAGGATCTTGATTTAGTTTCATGGGTTCCACTGAAATAGAAGTAGCTGATTATGAGAAAGACCTCAGTGTTTATGTTGATGCTTCAATATCCCACTATTGCCATTTTGGGGAAGCAATGAAAAAGGCAAAAAGGTTGTTGAGTTATATCTCTAAGTATGTGGAGTTTGTCAGGGGAGGTATAGGTGCCAGATGATTTGTTTTTGGAACACGTGTCAGCCACAAGACTCCTCTTCTTTTTTAAATTAGTTTCGGAAATACCCTACAGGAGGTGATGCTACGATTATACAATTCCTTGGTAAGACCCCACCTAGAATATTGTGTGCAGGTTTAGTCACCTTATCTTAAAAAGGACATTGCTGCCTTAGAAAGGGTTTGAAGTAGGGCTACAAGAATGATTCCTGGTCTTAGAGGAATGTCTTTTGTGGAGAGGTTAGCTGAGCTGAATCTGTTTAGCCTTGAGCAAAGGAGACTAAGTATACAAGTATACAAGATTCTAAGGTTTGGATGCTGTTCAATGAAATAGTTACTTCAATATTAGTTCAAATACAAGAACTCGTGGCCATAGGTGGAAATTAGCGGGAGAACATTTTAAACTGGATTCGAGAAAGCACTTCTTTACACAGCATTTAGAGTATGAAATAGTCTTCCTGTTAGTGTAGTGCAAGCTAGATAAGATTTTAACAACTCTGAGCTATTAGTTGAATTAGCCGCAAATGAGCTTGATGGGCCGAAAAGCTTTCTCTCATTTGTAAATTTTTTTATGTTCTTATGATTTCCAACCCAGGTCTAGTAAACCACATCCCAGTCATGTGACGGAATCTTAGCTGCAATCTAGCATTTGTTTTCATTGCCTAACATTTGCAAACTCGACAGTAGGTAACACCTTTTCAGCGGTTGTTTGTACATTTTTCAAAATCACACTATAATGTTTGTTACATGAGTAACAGTAATCCTTATAATAGCCACATAGTTAATACTTTTATTCATAAATTAATTTTTATTTGCAGTTATTCGGGCTAGACAGATAGTTGTGACAGACCATAATTACTGCCCAACCACTCTGAGGTAATTCTTCAAGTATGTCTGTTCAGTATCTGTTGTAATGGGAACAACTTCTTGGCAGTTGCTCTCAATCATTAGATCTACCTGAGGTACTGGAGTTAACGTCTGTGTGAGGTGCAGGTTGGCTATGATATCAGTTCATTTTACCCCAAATGTTAACTGTATCAAAGTTCCAGTTTAAACAGGCTTATTATGTGAAACTGCAGTGTTGACGTTCATTTATTGCATTTTGTTATTGCTTCTGTTAATACAATGAGTAAAATTACAGATTGAAAACCAAGGATCAGTTAGTCACATTACCATCACTATTTTTCTACTTTATTTTTTTTTTTTACTTTTATTTGTGTACCATCATGGGTAACTCGCACATGGTTACTATAAATTGAGATCAGTTGAACAAAGCTATCTTGTTAATGTAGCTACGCTAAATATTATAGAACCGGGATTATGTTTACTACAGCCAGTCACAATAAGCCTGTGTTTCTCTGGCCTATTGGATCATAACAAAGGGCATGGTTTACTGAACCTGGGATGAAGACCCTCTCGCAATCCAAAGGCAAATAGATCCATAGAAGTTTCCAGATTGCTCATAATGTGCACATTTGTGTCCAGGGTGTCCCCCTGGCTAATGCCTGAAGCATGGTTGGAAAATGGATGGATGTTATTTGATAAATTTTGTAAATTATATTCACATCACATAAGCATTAAAGCTGTTGCAAGAATAGTAAATAGATTTCTTTGTTAAACTGAAGTAAATAAGAACTGTACTTCAAAAAATTTGCTGCTTCAGTCACTGAGTATACCACAAACTGAAGGTCACATACTGTATGATAGCCCACAATGTGCTCATTGTCCATTCTGAAATGAGTTTTGCTGTGACATACTGAGCAGGTCTCTGGCTTTCAATGAACCCACCATTTTAACTGGCAGGCCAAAAATAGCCAGAAGTGTGTTGTTCGCCTAAGATGGAGTCCAATATTACACATCCTATGTTACCATGTATTATGTACATTAAGTTGAAGATTACTATTAACCAGCAACAAAACATCTAAGAGTTTATGATGACCTCAATGGCCTCTCTTATGTAATATCTGTCATAACTCATTGTAGTTAAATCCCATCCATCCATCTGTTTTCTGTACCCACTTGTCTTATGCAGGTCTGGAGTATATCACAAAACCTAGGGGCATGAGATAGGGAACAACCCAGGATGGGGTGCTAACCCATTGCAGGGGACACTATACTATACACCCCGCCTCACGTTGTGATATCATTTGGCACTGGTACGAGTTTTTATGCAGTGGAAAAGCAACACCTTGAAGTATCATACTTTTGGTACTTTCTCGAAAATAACAAAAGTATGGTACCTGTTGCGGTGGAAAAGCACCACTTGCACATGCAAACCTATGGGCAATTTGGTAACTCCAAGTCACCTCAGCATGTTTTTGGACTGTTGGGGGAAACTGGAGTACCCAGAATAAACCCCACAATGGGGAGAACATGCAAACTCCACACACATAGAACCCTGGTGGAGATTTGAACCCTGGTCCCAGAGGTGTGAGGCAACAGTGCTAATCATTTCACCTCCCTCCGTCCATTTTTAGTACTTTAAGATACCATTTATATTTTATATTATTTATCCTTCTACTTTCTTTATTGCTCAGTCTGGAATAGCTGCAAAATCATTTTACTGTTGGTTTTCCACTACATTCATGTGTGACAAATAAAAATCTTGACGCTTGAACAGTGTAATGTAGTTTATGACTGAAAGCTCCGTAATATATTTTAGGTAAATTAAACCTGATTTATCTTTAAGAATAACCCTAAATGTCATACTGTAGTTCTTTTTCTTTGGTTTGTGCTCTAGTTGTGGTCAGTTGCCATGCTAATTTATCCTGTGGTCCTTGTGTGTTTGCCAGCTATGCCCCCTGGTGTCCTGTATGCCAGCAGCTTCAGCCAGTATGGAGCGAGTTTGCAGAGTGGGGAGATGATATGGGTGTTAGTGTCGCCAAGGTGGATGTCACAGAGCAGCCAGGTATATGCAGTGCGAAGCTGTATCTGTTTGCTGGTGATGGAGAAGGAAAGTTTAATTGAGTTAAAAAGTAACAATTTTTATTGTTTGCTGCAGGGCTGAGTGGCCGATTCATCATCACAGCCCTTCCTACTATTTATCAGTAAGTGCTGTTTTCCACTTTTGGCAAGTCGTTTTAGGAATTACATCACCTTTAGCTAATCTTACAACCCTGTTTCCAGAGAGTCCATGGCTTGTCCAGGAGTGTAACATAAAAATGACATAAGAAAAAGAAACATAGCCAATCCAGTTCATTTGAAGTGAGCACAATTGTATTTTGGGTGATAGACAATAAAAGAAAGGAATCCAGGACCAAAAACAAACCATACAGCTTTAGGGTGAGCTAATACCAAAATAAGAAAACAAAGGAAAGCCAGTGCAATGGCCAGGAATCAAACATGGGCCTCCCATGAGCTAGCTGAGAATTCTGCCACTGCACCACTAACTGCAACAGAATCGGTTTCTCTAAACATAAAACAACCCACAAGAAAAAAATATATTAGGCCTACATAAACCGCCTCCCCAGATAAATGAGAAACTGGAGAATATGCAAAAGATAAAAATAAATGACACTCAACCCTACAGGTACTGAACATACGGTGTGCAGCTAACACACCCTAGTGGGCATAAATCACCAGCAATAGTCACACATCAACATATTCATACAAAGTACACCAGAAATAGCCCAGCTCTATACAAAGTGTAAAAATTTCCCGCGAGTCCATTCTTCCATGAACTTTTTAAGCATGCATGTGTCTGGGCAGCCAGTCCACTTGTTGCAGGTAGGATGACATCAGGGACCTTTCACAATACCAACCATAGATAGGGATTAAAAAAGGAGGGGAGGAAAGGAAAAAAAAACAAACACTACACCCTTGGACATAACGCTAGTGAAATTTTTTTAATAGCGATGAAAGGATAAAAAAAAAATGTAGGTGACACTTTACTTAAGGCTGTTCATCATAAAGTTGCATGACAAGCCCTTCATGACAGCCACCATATCTTGAAAAAAGCATTTATAAAGGTTTCTTCATATTTTTGTAGCTGTCATAAATGGTCACATTGGCAACTTCTGTGTCATGTTGACATATAACCTTTGTCATAGGTTCATGCTAACCTAAAGTTGTGTTATAACACTTTTTTCATTCAAGTGGCGTGAAAGATTTTAAGACCGACTATACACTTAATTTTTTCGGTGTGACAATTTGACAAATGTAAAGCCAGCTGTAAAACATAAGGCGAATGCTTTTTTACATCAAAGAAAAAGATGAGATGATTGGACACTTTTCCTTCTGGACAGGATCAGTATGTCATTTACTTATTACCTTATTTGATCTTTGATGGATCTTGTTACCAATTCACAAAAACAGTATATGGTTTAAAATCTGCACTTAAAAATGTACACTTGATCAGATGCAACATCATGTCAAAGTTGTAACTGCAATGACAGAGAGCAGCTGAGAGTGAAACTGGAACCTGCATCCGCCATGTTGTGAACACAGCCAACTTATTCCATAATTCCTTGGAGAACTCAACAACGTTTATTGTGGGAGAATTTAATTTTCACTTTTTCTTCAGACATGAGGAGAGTTTATAAGGTAGGCTTTTAATAATATTTTCCTTATACTGCCGGGTCTTCATTCAGAAAAAATTATCACACATAGTGATATGAGAAATGGCTTTACCAGACCCCATGTTTGTGTGTATGCATGGGTCATGTGTGTATTACATTGTGGCGACCAAGTTGATTTAAGTTGCACTTGAGTTACACTTAAAATTTACTCAAAATTCCAGATTTTTATTGACCACATGAGGGTGCATAGCAAGATACTAAAATAACTGGTTTGAGGGGGACCTCATCCCACCATGAAAATTTATTTTGTGCTGTGGGTCAGGCAGTGTGCAGCAGGTGCAATGAAGTGCCTGCTGGTTCAGCCACACTGATAATGATTTTGTTCTGATTTCTAATCCAATGATCTGTGTTTCAGCTGTAAAGACGGCATGTTCCGCAGGTATCGGGGTGCACGGACTAAAGATGATTTTCTCACTTTCATTGATGAGAAGAAGTGGCAAGATATTGAGCCAGTGTTGTCGTGGTTTGGCCCTTCCTCATTTCTGTAAGTTTGACATTTTATAATATTGTGATGACTTAGTTTCCTGTGTTCTCATACCATATTCTATGGTTTTATTATTCATTGATCACCACACTTGACTTTATTGCAACAGGTTCTTTCTGCCTCCTTGTTTTGCATTTTCACATAAATTTTTTGGCCCAAAGAGGGTGAATATTACCTGGAATGAGATTGTTATATCAAATTCAACAATAATAATTTAATAATTAATAATTAATAATGTAACATTATGATTATTGTTTTTCAGGATGAACACAATGTCAGCTCTCTTCAAGCTTTCAGTGTTTATACGGGTATTGTGAATGCTCTTTGTCTTCATTGGCTCAAGTAATAACACATCATAAAATGCTGTATATTTCAGAATAATTTGGCCTTTGTTTTTGGCATAATGTGTAAAATGATTGTGGTGAAACAGTATGGTAAAGGTCATCTTTACTCTATGTTTGTGTTATTACTCTGTTAGTAGTTACCCGAATTAGAGAATTTATTAGTGCATCTAGTAGTTTCCCCTGTTGCACTGCTAAGTATCTGCTGATTTTCTGGTTATAAAGAGTTTCAAAATGCTTTTGTACAGAAACTGTATTTTTGAAGTTGGAACACTGATTAGTTTTGTATGCAAAGTTTTTGTTTCTCATCAAAAAAACAGTGAAATCAATCATGGGCATGAGTCCTAAACTGCAGAACCAAACCATAACTATGGAGTAAATTAGTGTGAAGAGGTCATCCCAATTTTTCAGGAATACAGACGCTCCTCCACTTACGAATGAGATACGTTCTGAACGGCCGTTCGTAACTTGAAATGTTCGTAAGTCTTTATTCAACATCATGTTAAGGGTATACACAAGTACAAAGAACTTGGATGCTGGGAGTACACATGCTATGCTGTTGGCGCAGCAGGAGTAGCAGCCAGAAGTCGTACTAGGCGGAATTGGCGTGCAGAAAAAAAAATGTTGTGGACAGGAAATGGGAGCCCAACGAACACAATTTGGACTTACAGTCCTCTTTGTTCGCATATCTGAAAGTGCATAAGTTGAAAGTTCATAAGTAGAGGAGCGTCTGTACTAATACTAATAATTTAACAGGAATTCCATGGAAGTAAGGCATTGGTGTGTATCCCTAATATAAGAAATGCAGGGAAGCATGTCTTGTCTAAAGGTTTTGGTTTAAAACTAAGGTTGTGTCTTTGGTTAACAAATGCACTGAATAATTTTTAAAATATATAGGTAGCAAAACATTCTTCGGTGTTCTTTTGTTATAGCATTGCCACAAATACCTCACTGAGAAGATGGGGATTCCAGTGTGGGGATCATACACCATTTTTGCACTGGCCACCCTTTTATCTGGTCTAGGCCTGGGACTGGTGAGCATTTCTTAGTGATTTCAGTATCAGATTAAGTGACATTCGCATAGTTGTCTTTGTGCATGCATTCTTCCATAGAGTATAGCTGTACTCCACAGATTTAACCTGACTATGTCCCATATCTCTGCAGGTTCTGGTATTTATTGCAGACTGTGTCTTTCCATCCAAACGATATACCTCCCAAAACTACTACCAAAGTAAGTAAATGTCAGTGGTGCATGGTGTATAAGTTTGTAATGCTGTTGGTAATGAAACATCCAGATACTTTTAAAACTAAATAATTAAATGTATTTCTGCCTGTAATCAATATAAACTCATTTGCTATTCTTTTTTTCTGCTTTTCTCATTAAAAACCTCACTTGTTAAGCAAAGTAATATATACCTGCAGTGTTTTTTGTTTTTTTTTTACCTTTGATTGCAATTCCTGCAGAGTAGCATAGCATGCTGTTCTGTGCATTACCCTACAGAAACACCAGAGAAAGCTAAACTGTTCAAGCAACTGCAGGATGAACATGAGGCTGATGGGGAAGACGAAGATGAAGAAGAGGTGGACGGAGAGCAGGCCGAGGTGTGGAGGAGACACAGGGTATATGAAGAACAGTCCACCTGTGATGGGCTTCCTAGGGAGGTGCTGCGTAGACAGGTTCAAGACGCGTTTGTGCAGGACGACACTTTGAAACTAAGGGGAAAACACTGAAGGCAAGCCTGAAAACAAGCTTCAGCAGTGACTGGTGGGATGAGCAGACAGGCTCTGCTCCATGCCCATTGTCTTCAGCTGACCTTCTAAAATGACCAGTCTACTGTCAAAGCAACGACAACCACCCTTTTCCTCCCAGAACAGCTAGCTTTGATCGTCATATGTAGTGCAATGGGATTATTTTCAATTATTAATCATAATATGGTTATACTATCCATGCCTTTATAAAAGAATTGGAGGTTGAGTTTTTATCCCTCTGTATATTCCAGCAGTTCCCTCCTGTCCATAAGCCTGAATATTTCTCAAGCATCTGTGTTTCATTGCCAATGGTATTATTGCTATAAATTTGCTTATAATGTAGCTCTTCATGTGTGAAAGTGTTGACAGTGTCAACAATTAAAATATGTAATTGCAGCAGTTGGTTTTGACTAAGCAAGGATTCAATAAAGTATAACACATTTGCTGAACTAAGTTTGGAATTCGCACACTTAGATGTGGCACTGCCCATCTGCCCATTTTGTATCGCTGGCCTGAATTTTAATGAATAAAATTTTCCGAAATACAAGGGAGAAAAATTTATTAAACATAATGTTAGATTTATTATAGTGTTACTTGCTAAGATGAGTTAGTAGTCTCTTTTTGAAAGAAATCACACTATAGAACTCTTACAATGCAACATTGAACAACATAGTGGCCTTAGAAAGATACTGCCTGTTGTATATGTAAAACTACATAGTCAAGACATGTAAGGTACATTGGTTTTCAAGAATTTATCAGTTTGTTTTTCTAAATTGAATTGAAGTTTTGTAAGTTTTTTTTTAAACAACTATGTGTATTTGCAGGGTTTTTGACATAATTGTGAATTTGTTAAGCTGTATATAAAGTAACTGGGTTTCAGGTATGTCATTTAAATGCTGAGTAACAGTTATTTATATACAGGTGCTCCTTGGCTTGATGGGATTACGTTTCGATGAAGTGGAAAATATTGTAAGCAAATATAAGTACTGTCATTGAATAAGTAAATAATTACTGTAACTAAATACCAGTAAGCAAATAAGTGGATACAAGTTGAAACAATATGTACAATATGTTAAACATTGTATGAGATGTTTATGGTCGAGATCACTACAGAGACTGAAAGCATGATTCAATGGATGTTGCTGTCACCTGGTGTTAGTAGAGTGAATTGTACAGCATATTGCTAGCCTGAGAACTGATCAAAATTCAAAGTTGACTACTGAATGTACATTACTGTTGCACCATTGTGAAGTTGAAATATTCTAAGTTGTACCACTGTAAAGCGAAGACCATCTGTACGTTATCTAGTAAACTACATAGTATGTGATTAGTATGTAATATTCATCAAAATGTATTAGAATTCTTGTGTCAGAAGGTTTTCATCCTGTGTTTTATATATAATTTTCCAGAGATAAAAAATAGACCCCGTTTGTTTCTATGGATAAAACTTGAAATAGGGTTGATGCTGGGGCTGAACCCTACTGAAGAACAATTTAGTGGGAGTCCTCTTTTGTACTTCAGAAATCTGTACCTATTAAGTACAGTTATATTCCCTCAATGACAAAAATGTACTTTTCCAATAGATACTAATATGTCCCTTAAATGGTGCTGCCCCAGCAACAACTCGTTTTGGACATCCATGTGGCAGAAATGAAATAACCAGACATACAGTGGAAATCTTTCTTTACAGTTTATTTCTATAAGTGCCATATGTTAAAAATAGAACTTCTGTTTGTCTTGTACAATAAATAATTCATAAACAACGCATTAATAAAAGCAAACTTTTTGTAAATTCTAAGTTCTCCACAAAAAATCCAAATAGTATCTTTAATATCTATTTCATTTTGCAAAATAATGGTATTGTTTCAACATGAATACAACCAATTAAAATGCATCCCCAAGGTAATATGTAACATTATTTACAGATAAGTGGGATACATGCTAAAGCACCTTCCCCTGAAATTATACACAACTGCAGGTCGGAAGGACATCACAGGTAGTGGAGACATTGCTGGCAGCAGGGTAGGCAGGATACCTTGAAAATTTGGGGTATCCAGGCAGCACACCCCAGGAGGAGTAGGGAAAGTAAAATGTGCAATTAGCCTAAGTAGGGGAGTGACAGTGCAAACAGTCAAGTGAGTGCAATATGTAAGCTCCGGCAGATATGGCTATGGCAACATAAGTAGGAGGGAGAGGCAGGTGGGAACGCAGGCATGGAGAGTTCCTGAAATGTCAGCACTCCAATTCCACAAGGGAGTGTAAAGCTAGAGTGACAGCACTGACAGTTCAGTTCATCCAAGGCCAATGGCACCGATGCCCACCTAGCTCTGCACTTCACACTATAGGTCTGACTGGGAGTGAGCAGTTAGCTAGAGCTAGAACTACTGTAGAGTACCTATAGTTTACACTAAACAAGTGTGTTTTTAGTCTAGACTTGAATATTGAGATTGTGCATGAATCCTGCACTTCCAGTGGAAGACTATTGCACAGCTGAGGAGCTCTGTAAGAGAGAAAGCTCTGCAGCCTACCATAGTTACCAGTTATTTCTACCCTAGGTACTAATACTGGTAAAGTTATGGAGGCTATAATCAAAGAGAAAATGGTAGATTACCTG